TCTGGAGTTTGATCCTGACTGGCTCAAGGTTGACTCAGCCTTCCATCCTTCCGAGGTGGGTAAAATGAGAACCCGGATTGTTGTTGGGGGCAATATGCTGACTCTGTAAACCGCTTAGAGAGGGCTGAAAGCTCTATGAAGCGGTATATAAGTCTAACTGCTATTGCTATTGCTCTGCCCGGAGTCCTTCGGGATTGGGCGGCCTATAAATTCATTAAGCATTCAACATTAAACATTTATTAATCTTTGGATGGTTCATAGGCATGAATTGGGTTCATTCTGTATCCTACAGAAACCTTCGTTAGAGAATGAGGAAAGAGGAAATTAACTACATGGCTTCATATTATTATTAATAATGTAACAAGTCGTGCTCTTCATGAAGGTGTTGCTTCCAATATTTAGGTGAATAAATCACATTTTGGCCATTTCTTTTGAGATCCTCCTTTCTTTCCTTTTTTTTTTCCTTCCGGGCAGGCAGGCCGAGATGATAAAAGAAAAGGCATTTCCTTTGCTAATGAATTTAAGAAATTAACCAAGTCAAGTAAGCAGTACAGAGGTTTTATAACTCCACCTCTACAAACTTCTTTGGAAGGTCTTCAGAATAAAGACGACAAGGCGGCTTGCCACTTGACGTTTAGCGATGCTATGGAATAACTCTTAACAGCTTTCAATTCAGGTAGGATGACGCCAATGTCCAAATATTAAATAATTTAAAAGTTGGTGTTTTTTTTAATTAAAAACGGGTCTCCGTACAGGTGGGAGGGAGTTTTTAGGTTGACAGTCTCGAAGATATAACACAGGAAGATAAATGGTTGGGGCAGAAATTAAAAAAGAAAGAAAACCCAGGGTGTCAAAGGGGGGGGACTGAAGACAGCTGGTAATCTAGAGAACTGATGCAGTAGTTTTATTTTCTATGCCTCTGAACTATTTCTTATTTCATGGACTGGGTATTTAATTTAGGCAAGCTTCGTGAAATATGGGAAATTCGATATGGTAGGACAGTGTTTCCCAACCTTTCCAAGTTGACAGCCCAGCACGGGTGGAAGAGGGGGGGTAGAGGGGATGGTTCTCCTGTGCGCTGCTTGGAGAATCCAAGCATGGGTTAACTGTGTCCATTAGCCTAGAGACTGAGTTACGTAATTATTGACCACGCCTCCCCTGGTTTAATTTGGTTTGGTTGCTTTAATTTATTTGTATGCCGCCCTTTTCCCTGAGGGGACTCAGGGCGGCTCACAACTCAGAAGGGAGGGGAAATACAAACAGAGTAACAAAAACATAAAACCATACATAGTTAAAAATACAACAATCATACTATTCAAAGTGGGGCAGCGAATCTTTAGCCCCAGGCCTGTCGGAACAGCCAGGTTTTAAGGGCTTTGCAGAAGGCCTGGAGGGTGGTGAGGGTATGAATCTCCACGGGGAGTTCGTTCCAGAGGGTCGGAGCNACACACACACACACACACACACACACACAACATGTAACAGAGGAACAGCAGGATCTTTTTGTGAAGCCAGGCTGTCTGAGGTCAAAAACCTCTTCTGTTTTCCTAAGGCATCAATAGCATGCCAAATAGCATGCCAAAAGCATATTTATAGCCAGTGAAGATATTAACACGTTTGTCTCTAGTGATAAGAGAAGCTTAAGTTGAGGTAGTCTTTGACTTACAACATCAATTAGTACTGAAATTTCCATTGCTAAATGATGCAGTCATAAAGTCTGATCCCATTGCTTAGAAATGGCAATTCCTGCAGTCCTGATTGCTATTGTTAACTGAATCCCACAGCTGTTAGGTGAGGCAATAAAAGTTACTGAGTAAGCTGTAGAAAAATGCAAGATATGTAGGCAGGTAAGTGACTGTTATTGGGTTAGGGAGGGTGCATGGAGTGTGTGAGATTTCAAGGGGTGCACAAGGGATGCAGCACAGGCCAAGTCAGTTAAGATGCAACAGCATGGACAAGAGGTGCAGTATGGGATGGGGAGGGTGTGTGAGGGTTCACAAGGATGTGCAAGATGTACAGTGTAGGTTGGGGAGGTACAGTGTAAATTGGGGAGGATCAAGGAGAACATGCAAAAGTGCAAAAGGATAAGCAATAGATGGTATCCAGGCCAGGAGAATATTTGGGGGTATGCAAGTAGCTGCATTAGCATTAATACAGAGAGGTTGGGGTAGGATGCATGGGTGGGGAGACTTACCTTAGCAATTTGCAACCACTCCTGATTTTATGGAAAAGGGAAAATTGCAAATGGCAATCATGTAATAGCAAGGTGCTTGATAACCAGTCGTAAATGTGTAAATTACCAGGTACCTCCTTATCCCCAAACTAACATTTTTCTGCTGACTCAAAAATGGGGGACAAAATGTTGCCCAACTAGAACAATGCAACTCTGAGTGGCTTATACGAAGTAATCCAAATATAAAGAACAGCCAAAATAAAACCTGATAAAAGCAACCTGGTTCATATGTATTCACTTTCCCAAATAAGAGTTATTCATTCTATATCAAATACATGGGATTAGACACATTTTAAAGCCCATCTTCCAGGCATGGACCCAGCTGAATATCAGAGGGGAAATAGAAGAGAATGATCTGGTATTAAGCAGAAAGAGCTGCGCTCAGGCCACCTAAGGCTTAGTGACTGAGCATTGTGGATTATGACATTAGGCTCATATTCTCTATGAATTGACTGGTCCTTGACTTACACAATTCCTTCCATTGCTCATCAGCGCCATGATTTTCTGCCACCTCTGTCTCAATACACATCAATACAATAGATAGTAAACACTAGGGAGATATTGCTTAATATTCAGTACTCAGCACTTTAAACACAATCTGCCATGCCCTTCCCTTCTCTGAACTGATTTACCACTTTTCCAAACCATAATTTATCCTCTGGCATACTAAATTAAAAATATCCAAACACACACCCAATAGCCATGGTAAGGCCTCATCCCTTCTCCTGTCCCCTACATCCTTGGAATACAGATGGCTGTGTAGAGTTAGATTTCTGTATATTGCAGAAGACATGTGCAGCTTACAAGGTTGTCTACAACAGAGAAATTATCCCCCACTTCATGACTGTGACCTTCAATCACACATACAAAAAATTGAGAATATGGAGTTTAGTGTTTGAAGAATCAAGATTTATTGCCATATGCAAGAAATCTGAGAGGATAATCTTTTTCTACTTTCAATGATTTGAGACAGAGTTTAAAACATGGTAACAGTTATATAATTCTTCTAACAAAGATCAAATCATCAATTCCTTGCTTCAGAACAACATAGGAGTGAGACAGGCCAGCAAAACTGAGTGATGAAAAAGCTAGACCACTTAGTACTCTCTTATAAAGCTATTTCATTTATTATATTATTTCACCCTTAGAAGTTGTGTTTTATTCATTTCCCCAGTGTTAATTGAACAAGGGGTTATATAGGAATGTGTGAGAAATGCTCCACTAAGTCAACCTCTCAACTGAATTCCTTCTCTTCATCTTAAAGACCTTT